ACTGCATTTGAACACCGCTGCCAAAGTAATGACATTAGGAATGGAACGTTTAACCACACACAATTTGAATTTCTAATAATACATTCCTAACTCTCCATATTTCATATGCTCTTTCCACATCAAAACATGGCATAGCCTTATAGGAATATGAACTTGAGAACTTGGTGTGATTTGAACTAGCTACGCAGTCGTCGTTCCGTTCTGACGATCTGAATTGCGCTGCTGAATGTCCTCACTGGCAGAATGACGGTGTTTATATTTATGTCCTAATTGAATGCTGTTTCCCGAATGCTTGCTGGCATATGGATGTAGTATCAATCCATTTATCAATTCAATGCTGCTACAAGAGAAGATTGCAAGTGCACGACAACGTATCATGTACGTGGCGGAAAGAGTAGCTCCACCCACCAACACTTCTCACTTATGTAGCGAATTGCACGAAATTATGGACAATTGTCGCGCCATCCATATTCGTGAAGGTGAAATCACAACTATGATTATTACTGATGTAAACTTATCTTATTACTTCTATCCTCTTGAGCATATTTTGTATTTTAAGCTTCAACTCAACCTTCTCAATTATGTATCATATATTATATTGTCTTCTTAAACATATTTTGTATGTTGAGCTCAACCAATGAACTGTTTGCGTAGCGGCAGCCCTGAAAGACAATGTGCAATAGAAATTGACGTCTCTGTTCGGAATTCTGCTTCGTGTGCGTTTGACTGAGCGTGGCGTCTAACTTGCTAAATACAAATTTCAGATCGTAGAGCTGCAAGAGAGAATCAAGGAATATTCTATCCGAGTCATTTAAAGCTGCGATTGGAATGGGAGCCAATAAATTTGTCTAAAGAAGTTGAAGAAATTTTGAAAAGATAGTGAGAATATAGCAATTTCCAATTGTCTTAGGCTAAATTAGTTTTTGATTATGACTTCGCTGAAAAAGTGTTCAAATTTGCGCATGATAATTGAGGTCTGGTGCAGTTCCCAACAAGGAGGAATTAAGGTTTGAGTGACATCTGAATTTTTATTTGTAAGCTAATGCTATGGTCGTCACAGTTTCTACGCTACTCTTGGTTAAACTAAAAGAAAAAAGGAGCACTGGACGATTTTATTTGTGAGCAGCGTGAGTGGAGGGAATCGGCCTTGAGAAGCCTGCAGTTAAGCTTGCAAGCTTTAAAGTTGATTGTTCCTTTGTAAAGCACATTAACTGAAAGTAATTTGTACGTGATATGGAAGATGTATCCCAGCGTTCTCAAATTTTTTATTATTGTAAAATTCGTGCAATCTGCATAGTTGTTCCTTCTTCATTTTTTATTACAAGAAGATTATTATGTAAAATTTGTACGAATATAGATATTTTTTCTTCTTCATTTCCACATA